TGCAGCAACGTTATGGTACCTGAGTGAAATTGATGAACTATACCTTAAGAATCGAATCGAACTAGTTCCATAAAACTTGCAAAAAGAGCTTCCCAAAAACTTCGCCGAAGTAGTCGTCGTCGTGACAGTTGTTGGGCAGAAATGGCGACTGTAATTCATCGCCATCTCCGAAACAAAATACTCTCAATTGGGTATTCAAAGAAACTGAAGACTCCAATTAAAAATCTCAGCTTTCGTCGATTTCTTTTCTTCAGCTAGATCACAGAAGCTCGAACTCTGTGTTATCCATGGCGGGGAAAGAAGAAGAAGAAAGGGTCTAGATATTTAGAGGCTTGTTTGGATACGTTGTTTTTTGTATCCACACGAAGAAGTGCGCATTATAAAAAAAAACTCTTTTCTTAAGTATAGCTAAAATGCGCCTAAAGTGCTTATCTTATCAGAAATATATACAGTTTTCCTAACATACGCGTTGTGTCCGGATCCATTTTCTTGAGTCAAAAGTGTTTATGCAGAGAGTAGAAATCTCTTCCGTGCATCTCTCTCTTTGTCCCTTTCCTCTATGAGAGATATCGAGTTTTCTTCTCAAAAGGTTAGATTTTTGGCTATTAATTTTGTTTGTTTTGTTGTAGATTTCTAGGTAATGAAACTGTGGAACTTGTGTAATAAATTATGAAGAGAGAACAAAAAGATGCCTTTTTTTTAGTGATAAAAGGAATCGATTTGATAAAAGGAAAAAGATTCAAACTTTCGATTTTTTGCGTACGATGTTGTTGGGATTTTTCACTATAAACGAGGTTTTAAAGGGTTGGGTTTTTATTTACTGTCTGTAGCGTTTTAGAAGGGTCGTTTTGTCTGAAAATCGAAAAGAGATTTCTATAAGGTTATTGAAATCAGACAGTTACATGTGTTACTGTAGCTAAGTTGGTGATTGGAATCTTTTGATAAGGTTATTATACAAAGGAATGGATGCTTATTTCTCTGGAATGTGATTGTGGTTTCTTTGAGAAAGAACAAAGGAATCTTCTTGAATCTCTTAAGATTAATTTAGAGTTTGTAATTTCCCCAGAAATTGTTGACATTCTAGTCTTGTTATTGCAGTTCTAGTACTTGGTTTTTGGTTTAATGTAAATTATCAGTTTCAAATTTTGATTACTTTGCTTTCAATTTCTTCTCTTGTGGTTATTCCTCTGCTTTGATCTGAAATTGAGCTCATCAGCAACTTGTAGCCTATTTGTTCTTAGTATGCTCAACCTATTTAGCCATCGTAAAATTTGGTATCTGCGCTGCGGTTGATTTAGACGCGAAATAACTTTGTGTTTTCTATATTAGTCAGGTGGAAATGTGTGAGGCTATGCGAGTTGCTTTATGGTTCTCGTTTATATTTTAGGATTCATTGTGGGTTGGGGTTTGTATGAACCGAAAGACGGAGAAGTCTATTTTTTTGTGATAAGATTCATCCTTGAACGTGGACTCTTCTGTGTTTCCTCAGGTGACAGATGAATATCATGTTTCCAGAAGTAGAATTGTCTCGGGAGGTGACTATATGTGCCAAAAACTTGAAGGGCCAATCACTACACCAACAGATTCTTCGTAGACTACTCCAAGATCTAGTACGCGAGAAAGCATGCAAGGAACACGGATTCTATCTTGGCATCACCGCCATAAAAACCATCGGTAAAAATAACAACAGCAATGATATTCATGGAGTAGACGTGCTCAGAATTCCGGTCTCCTTCACATGCCGCACATTCTTGCCTGTACGAGGAGAAATATTGCAAGGGGTAGTGGACAGAGTGTATTGGAGCGGCGTTATCATCAGGTCTGGCCCACTCAGATACGCATACCTCTCTACCTTGAAAATGCCGAAGTACCAGTATGTTTCGACAGAGCCAGAGGGCGATAAGGCATATTTTCAGAAAGACGATCTCTCCAAGATAGCTGTTGGAGTTGTTGTGCGGTTTGCGGTGATGGACGTGCGGTTTGAGGAGATACCAAACAATAGAAGAAACGATATTTACGTTCTGGCAACTATGGAAGGCGACGATGCACTTGGTCCCATCTCTCTTACAGGACCCGATGAGCCATATATGTGATTGTGTTTGTACCCTTCTAATTACACCAAAGTTGAAGTCTTTTTGGGTACTTTCTAGTTTAGTTTATTCTCAATTTCACTTGGTTTTTTGTTAGTCCTTAGTATATATATACAGATGCACGAACTCATCTCTCTCTTTCTATCGAAATTAACTTCATGGGTTTGTATAAGTACATATCATTTCACATCTCTAGCAGACAGAGACAAAGTTTCACAATTATTTATTTTTGTTATTGTTGTGAAATATACTAATTAATGGTGGAGTGCT